TTGTTTAATCATCATGTGTTCATGTGGTTATTGGGGATTCTTCCGGTGTTGATTTTAAGCGTTATTGCATTGTGGTCTGATAGAATGCATGGAATTATTTCAATCTTTTTGTATTTGTTGAGGTTTGTTTTGTGCCGCAGTAGATTGTTGATTTTGGAGAAGGTTCCATGGCACACTGAATACAAAGTATATTCTTTGGTGCTTGGGTGGAATATTCAGTAGATGTCTGTTAGGTCCATTTGATATATGGTATTGTTTAATTCAGATGTCTCTCTGTTTATTCTCTGTCCTGTTGACCTCTCTAATGGTGACAATGGGGTATTGAAGTCCCCTAGTATTAATGAGTTGGGATTAATCTGTAGTACTGTAGTCCTGTAGTACTGTTTATATGAAGTTAGGTGCACCAGAGTTTGGTGAATATATGTTCATGATTGTAATATCTTCTTGGTTTATTGTTCCTTTGATCAGTGTGAAGTGACCCTCTTTATCTCTTCTGATTAGTTTTAGTTGGAAGTCTATTTTGCCAGGTATAGAATTGCAACCCTTGCTTGTTTCTTAGTACCATTTGCTTAGAATGTTCTTTTCTATCCTTTCACCTTAAGGTAGTGCCTGTCCTGGAAAGTGAGATGGGTTTCTTGCAAACAGCAAGAAATATGTATCATAATCCATTCAAAATGTCTGTGTCTTTTGACTGGGGAGTTCAGTATTTAAAGTTATTAATGAAAGATGTGTATTGAATCCTGTCATTTTTATTTCTGTTCACGTTCTTGATATAGCTGTGCATTTCCAGTTATAACTTCATTGAATTCTTTCCGTCACCCCTTGTGTATAGTCGTTCCTTTCTTCAGCTCTTTGTATTGCTTCAAGAACTCTCTGAAGGGCTAGTTTTGTGGACATGAATTCTTTCAGCCTATTTATGTCATGGAAGATTTTTCTTTCCCCTTCAACTATAATAGACATTTTGGCTGGGTAAAGTAATCTGGGTTGGCATCTGTGGTCATTTAGAGCTGGGAATACTTTGGTCCAGGCTCTAAGTTTATACTGAAAAGTCACCTTTATAATCCTGATGGGTTTTACTTTATATGTGATTTGTTTTTCTTTTGCAACTTTCAGTATTGTCTCTTTGTTCTGAACGCTTAGTGTTTTTACTATGATGTGCCATGGAGAGTTTCTTTTCTGGTCCCGTCTATTTGGTGTTCTATATGCTTCTTGTATTTGTATGGGCATATCTTTTTTTAATTTTGGGAAATTTTCTTCTACAATCCTGTTGAATACCTGGTTCCATACCATTATCTTGAGATTCTTCTCCTTCCTGTATGCCTATGATTAGTAAGTTTGGTTTTTTTATGGTGTCACACAGTTCTTGCATATTCCCTCCTTGGGTTTTTTAAAATTTTTTTATAATCTTTGCTTGAGTGGTCTGATTCGTCTACTTTATCTTCGAGTCTTGATATTCTGTTTTCCATTTCATTCATCCTACGTGCATTTCTTTAAATTCACTGAATTCTTTTATCGTGTTTATAATTGTTCTTTTGAGTTCCATGTCCTGTGTTTTCTCTTGGGAGTTCTCATTGTACTCCTTTAGAGGACTATTGGTACTTGGTGGGGATATATTATTTTAGTTTTTCATGTTATTGTTTTTTCTTTGTGACTTTGACATGTGAATTTCCTTCGTAGTTTCTGATCTTGTGTGAGACTCAAGCCTTCCTTTGTTGAGTTTAGATCTGCTTTTGTAAACTTTATGTGCCTTCGTGGTTTACTTGTTGGGCATAAAAAGCTGGTTGGTCTAGGCTTCAGGTTCTCTCTTCTGATTTTATATTGGAGTGGCCTAATTGCTTTTGTCTTCAGGAGTTCCCACAGAGGCCCAAGTGAGATGAGGCTTAGATGATTATCAGGCTTTCTCCTAAGTATGGGTCCCTCCAGCAAAGATGCTGCCCTCAAGAATTTCAGGACTGGGCTGGCCTGGGGGAAGGGCCCAGGATAGATGCTGGTCTCAGGAAGCTGGTGGCTGTGCCACCCTGGGAAGTAAAGGGAGGTGAGGGCGGGATCAGGCCTAGAGGGTTCCTGGAGGCCGCAGGGAGGAAATGGGTTGGTCCCAATGCAAAGGATCAGGAAGCATTGGTGGCTGTGGGTCAAGAGTTTAGCCCCGGTGTCTGGGGTGCCAAAACAAGAAATGGGCTTGTACCCAGCCTAGGAGGAGAGACTCAGCGGGGGGAGCTGGGAGAGTGAAAGAGGGTGGGGGAATCAAGGCCCGCTGGGCACTCTGGACTTAACCCAGGGAAGGTGCTGGGACCAGGACATGGGAGGCTGTGCAGGCCAGGGAAGTTTTTTGGTTTTTTTAAAGCAAGATAATACTTGTGTCAGCTTGGGTTGACTCAATTAAATATTAAATTATTCCTTAGATGTAGTTCTGCTGTTGTTTTGAAAATATGCATTTATGAAAGACTCATCTTTTATGCATTGTTTTCTCTTATATTCTGTAAATATCATTAACAGTTGCTGGATACTGCTTCTGTTGAGTATTTTACAGGAGGCCTTAGCACAAGGCATAAAAATCTAACATCTAAGGATTTTAAAGGAAGTGGAATTGTTGCTTACTGGTTTGTCTACAGTGATCATCCAGAGTTTTGGCCACCACTGGAAAATCTTAAGAGAATCTAGAGAAACTACTAGAATCAATTCATCCAAGGTTACTGTACTAGGATCAATACCTGAAAGTAATTTTCTCTGTGTAAGTGATAGCCAGCTACACCCAGCTACTTATATAACAACCTCTTATGTAAATCTCTGAAACAAGGCTCTGAAACATCTTCCCATCCAGCCCTTTCTTCTTCTAGCCCTCCTTTCATGCCATAGCTGTTATAGTCTTTATGTCATCTGTGATTCCTCTTTTTTTCCTCTCACAGTCTAAAATCAGTTCATCAGCCTGACCTTTTAGCTCTAACTTCAAAATACATTCAGAAAACTGCTGCTATTGTCACTTTTGCCTGGACTCCTAGAGTACTTCTCTGGCTTCCACTCCTGGGCAACTGCAGTCTGTTCTTCACACAGTAGTCTTTTAAAATATGTCAAATCATATTACTTCTTTGTTGTGACAAAATACCTGACAAGAAGCTGCTTAAGGGAGGAAGAGTTTATTTTGGTTTACAGTTGGAGGGAATATAATCCATCATGGCAGAGAAGGCGTGGTGGCAGGAGTAAAAGGCAGCTGGTCCCATTGCATCAACAGTCAGAAAGCAGTGTGTGAACAGGAAGTGGTGCCAGGCTACAGAACTTCAAGGTTCCATAACCTTCCCAATCAACGCCACTAGCTGGGGACGAAGTGATCCTCTGGGGCATGGTTCACATTCAAACTGCCATAACTGTACAGACTGCTTCTTTTATTTAGAATCATGCCCACACTCCTATTTAGACTCGGCTTTCTCTCTCCTTCCCTGCACTCAGTCCTTTCCACCTTTCTCTTCTTTAGCTTTCCAAATACATTCCTACCTTCTGTCCTGGCTCTCTATCATTCAGCTTTTGGTGCCTGTACCCCTCCTCAGTCTTTCCCTGTTTTCACCCAGTATGCTTGATTTGTCTTTATGGGCAGCTAGCCCCTTGTGTTGAATGAATGGGATGTGTGCTTTTCCACCCTGCCTGGCCACATTAGAATTACTCATTTGCAACTTAAAGAACATAATCTTGGTTCTAGGAGAGGAAAAACTTTATCTTAATTTCCTTTATACCTCTAGCATTGAACACAGATACTGATGTGTGTGAATTAATGACTTAGGTAATGACTCTAGGTTATTACATTTTCTTTTTCCTTATTTTGTTAGGTTTTAGATTAGTTTGATTTTTGACACTGCTAAAACACATGAGCTGAACAGCTTCTCTTATTTTAAAGGAGCCAGAGAGTGCTGTCATTCTTTCGTGTCCAAGAAGGACAGAAAGCAGCTATCTCTGGCCACTGCCCTGCAGAGAACTACCTTCTTGTTCTAATATCTGTAATTTTGTACTTTAGTACAGTATAATCTTATGTGTGCTGTTTTCTGTTTGTGTCATTTCTGTTCAACATACATATGTAGGGGGTGGTTATCAAGCAGCACAAAATACTCTAAATTGGTAGCACTCAAACTATTTTTGGAGTTTACTACTTTAAGTTCAAGTTACGCCACCATTTCTAATGTATTTCCTAGATCTAAATGATATCATAGCATATCAAATCAAATAGAAACTGTCCTCAGATATTTAGACTAGAACATCATATATCAATGTGTTCCCAACTCTTATTAAATACATGTTCCAATTCTTAGCAATTCCTATTCCCAAATTCATTTTTATTTCATACTTTGCCACTGAATTGCATTGTACTTGTAATTTTTGTCTCTGTATGTTGTGTCAAATATATGAAATTGTATTAACTACTTATTATGCGCTCTCAAAAATCTAAGAGCATATTAAACTATATTGTTACCAATTATATCATTCAAATAAATTCCAATGTTTGGTCTAGGGAGCGATTTCTATTTTCCCATTCCTTTGAATAAAAAAAAAAAATTCCTGGGGCTAAAGAGTTGGCTCAGCAATTAAGAGCACTGGCTGCTCAGTTCCCAGCACTAGGTTCAGTTCCCAGCACTTATATGACCACTAACACCCATCAGTCCAGGGAGTCCAGTGCCCTCTTCAGGCCTCCACTGGCATTGCATATACATGGTGCACTTAACATACATGCAGGCAAAACACTCATACATATAAAAAAGTTTCCCCTTTTCTTCCTTCATTTGTTTGTTTGAAGTAGGATTTTACTAGGTAGCCTAGACTGAATTTGAAATCACAATTCCCTTACTCTCCTTCCAAGTGCTGAAATTATAGGCATGCGCCACCACACCTAGGTCTTCATTTATTAAAACACATTTATTGTTTTCTTTTAATTTAAAAAAATGCACTGCACATTCCCAGAAGAACACTAGATTGCACTGTTTGTGTGTGTGTATATATGCATGTTTGTGTGTTCGCAGGTGCACATGTGTGTGCTGGTGCTCATGCATGTGTATGCTTGTGCATTTGGAGACCCGCGGACAACCTTGGCTGCCGTTCCTCAGGTACCTTCCACCTTGTTTTCTGAGACAGGATCTCTCATTGACCTGATTCACTGAGTAATGTAAACTGGCTGGCCAGAGAGCTCCAGGGCTCCGCCGTTCTCTGCCTCTTCTGCACTGGAATTACAAGTGTGTACTATCACACCCAGCTTTTTTTCATGGGTTCTGGGGAATCTAGCTCAGGGTCCTCATGCTTATAAGGCAAGCACTTTATTGACTGAGCTATCACCCCAGCCCCAGATTCTACTTTTCATAAAATGCTTTCTCATGACAAAAGTCAGGTGTCTGACTACAATTTAGAAAATTAAAGAATTGCTTCTTATATCCTTTTTCTTTTTATTTACAGTATATCTCTGTACCGGGGTAATTGCCGGCCCATACGATTTGAACCGCCAATGCTGGATTTCCATGAACAGTAAGTTTAAAATAGGGACTGTGTTTTCCCATTAAACCTAGGACTATCGTCTATGCATTTCTCTTATCTTTTGCCTACATTAGCTATGTGAGAAAGCTGCATGGTCAAATCATGAAAAAAGCAAATGATATTGAAGCCATTTTGAAACTAGGAAATAAGAATCTATTAGGAGTTCAACATAATAGTAACTTTCAAAGTTTGAATAATGCACCCCCTGGTTCAGAGGATCTTAGCTTTGAAATGGCATAAAACCTAAAGCCTTTTCTGATAAGCACTTCATTTCTGTTGTTTGAAATTGTTCTTGTGAATACATGTGCTTGATACATACGCTTTTGAAACACAAGTTCAGTACAACACCAAATAGTACTATCACCAATCCAAAGTGGAAGACAAAAGCAAATGCCAGATAGACTGGGCCCAGAGCCGAGGTGTTTCCTTAGACCACACTCTGGCTCATCTTCTAATTTGGGATTCAGGTTTCACACTTCTCTGATACGCAAGGGAAAACAAGTGTTTGTCCTGTTGGGCTCCAGCCCATCACAGGTAGACAGCATCTTACCTTGTTTCCTATGCCAGAAGAATTTTCAAAGGAATGTGAGGAAGCTGTATGTATGCCACTGAGTAGTCTGTAGTAGGAAGGTGCATAGTTTAAAGTTTGGTATGTGCCTTTGGTAGTATGTTTGACTCAGATGTGATCAGACTGTGCAATTTTATCTTTATTTCTCCTCATTAATAGACTGTAAGTAATTCTCTATGTTACAAACCTATCCTAAATGAAATTTTGTATGCTGCACGGTATTCTTATGGGTTTAATTATTCTTCTATTCTTGGGGATATAATTTCTTTCTATTTTTATACTGTTGCTATTGTGTCTATGCATAGAGGTGAAAGTTTGCATTTAAAATTTTGAGATTGATAAACAGGTAGATACTAGACTGTTAACTTCAACTTGATTTCTAGGGGCAAAATTAGTGAGTCAGGGTCTGGAGAGATAGCTCAGTGGTTAAGAGTGCTTACTGCTCCCTCTAGCCTCCATGAGCACCTGAATGTACGTGGTGCATGTAAAAGCACACAGGCACATACATCCATAAAGATAAATAAATAAATATTTTTTAAACATTACTGAGTCAAACAAAGGGTCTGACCCACTTTCCATTGTCACAGTGCTCTTTCCACTACTTGCTTCATGGCCATCTCCTCTGATTTTGATTGTATCAGTGTTTTTATATCTACTCTGACTAAACAAATCAAAATTATAATATTTATTGCTATCAAAGTTTTATTTAGCAATTTTTACTATAATAAGCACAGTAAGTTTAAGTAACTTGTTCATATCAGATGTAGAAATCAAATACGTTATTTATCTTTTCCAACCATGGTTGGGCAGTTAACTCAAGAATTAAAAGACACTTGCTGACAGATCTTCCAGATGATGGTATTTTTCCAGAATTGTGTATTTGGGGTAGGAGTGCAGAAAAGTGTGTGCACTTGGTTGTGCACTTCTAGATGGAGCCAGTATTTGGAATAGTCATTATGTAAGTAAAATTGACTTCTGTGGTATTTTGTTTTAAAGACCATAATGTTCAGATAGGAAATAAATGACTGTATTGTTCTGTGAAAGGTTTAAATACTTCTGGGGTCTTTATTTTCAATAAAATTCAGAAGAGGTAGTATCTTTATGAGGCAATTCTATCACAAGGGCTCTGCCTTTGTGAGTGGATTAATGCTGCTCTCTCAAGGGTAGTTAAGTCTCCCAAATGTCATGCCTTCTCCCCTATTAAATCAGATATCAGCACCTTGATCGTGACCCCTCAGTCTGCATAACTGAAAGGATGTGTGAGTGTGAATTACTGGAGATCAAACCCAAGGCCTGTTCATGCTAAGCAAATGCTTTACCACAGATTATATCTCAGGTCCTAAATTTCTATTCCGATTTTACAGCCTGTGATATTCTGTTAACAGCAGCACAAAATGGACTAAGACAGGCACAATGTTAATATTGCAAAAAATACAGATATTAATCCAATTACAGAAATATATCAGTCTCATTAAATGGAAAATATTTAGTGGAACAGGGCATATATTTAATGTTTATCAATATGATTAATTTTTTTAAGTAAAGGTTTTTCTTTCTCTAAAATTATCTTTGAGTATGATCTCAGAGTGGATAAGAATGGAGATTGATGAACTCCATGCATAGACTGTGGCATTGAGTGGTTTATGATATTCCACAGACTTGTGGGGGGGTGGGGGATAGAGATCAATTCATGATACTAAGTCTTTAAAACACTGAAAATTCCAATTTGAAAAAGTTAGCAGTGACTAGTCTTGAAATAGTCTCTCAAAAATTATTTCTAGTTTTTGCTTTATTTATTGTTTGGTTTGAGCTTTCTGTTTGGTTGGTTGGTTGGTCTGAGTGTATATTTGTGTGTGTTCATGTATGTGTGCACATAGATGCTTGCAGGTGCATGTGCCTATATGTAGAAAGGCCAGAGGTCGAAGTCAGGTATCTTCTTCCTCCCTCATTTTTTGACCTTATTATTGACAGGGTCTCACTAAACCTGGAGTTTACCGATTCAGCTAGAGTGGCTGGCCTGCAAGTTCCTGGGATCTGCTTGTCTCTTCCCTGGTGCTGGGATTACAGAGATGAGCTGTCATACCTGGCTTTTTAACATAGCATTTGGGATCCAAACTCAAGTCCCCTATACCTGGGTGGCAAATACTGTACCAACTAAGCCATTGCCCCAGCCCTTCATTTGTTTATTGAGGGAGTTTTCTAAATTTCATTTTGAGATAGAGAAATTTTCAAATACCTGAACTGAGACCAAAAATTTCTATCCCAAATTATTTGTTCCTCAGTTCTTTGAATGCCCCACCTCCAAAATAGGAAAAATTAGAATAAGGTTAAGCAAGGTTCTGAACTGATGATTTTAATCTGTTTAGGGAATGTTTCCTATTTTAATCATGCATTTCTTTGGGAATGGATAAGTACTTTGAACCCTTTTGCTTACTGTTCACTAAAACATACAGTTGCGCATAGTATATTCAGGAGGTTGAGGCAGGAGAATCAAAAGTTCAAGACCAGGCTGGGGTATAAACCAAGGCCCTCTTCTGGAGAGCCAAAAGGCCAGTGTAGTGAACATGTAGGTTCAAGCATTTTATAAACATTCCCCTCAAAGTCCATATGTGAATCCTTAAGAACTAGTAAAGACTTGCTAGGCCACAGGTTGATAATCACCACCACAAAACTTACTGAGATTTTGTTTATTATACTAAGCAGTACATGTTCACCGTAGTAACTTAAAAACAAAGTACTTCTCAGGGGAAGAAAGTGAAAAGTTGCTGATAGTCTAATTACCTAGAAACATTAAATTTGGACTGTTGTCATTTAACAGCTCCTATATATTTATATTTATTAAGTCACAAAAGCATAATCATGTTCTTAACATACTATTTTATAACTTGCTTTTTAAACTTAATATACTGTGAATTTTCTGTTGCTTTATTTTGTGATATTAAAGAACATCAAGTTATATGGGTGACTTGTCAAAAAAATTGCTTTTAATTGCTTGCATGTTTTGTGATCAGTGCTGAAACTAGTGATTTATATATATTTATTTATACATACCCCCACAACTGTTCCCACAAGAGAGTTTTAATGAAAAGACATGCATATGAGCCAGGCATCATGGCACATGCCTTTAGTCCCAGTACTTGGAGGCAGAGGCAGGCAGAGCTACATAATGAGACCCTGTCTTTAAAAAAAAAAAAAAAAAGACATGCAGAATATTAATGTTACCCTTTTAAGCTAAAGAATAATTTGGTGTGGTGAACTAGAGGCAACTGGTGGGAATAATAAAATCAGTCTCTGACTGGAAAGGAAGCAGATGGGATTTCTTATTGAGACTAATGCTGGTTATAGAGAAACTGAAAACTCATAAGCTAAGAGAAACTTGGTAAGATTTGCTGAAGATACATGAAAGGATTAATGAACTCCAGCAGAGTACAGACAAGGGTCAGTCCCTTCCTGTGCTAGTCCCTAAAGCCATACACTCTTATGCTGCTCCAAAAATGGGGCAACAAACAAAAAGGAAGGCTGTTTGCTGTGGTATGGTGTTTGGGCCCCCTACCTCTGTTCATATGTTGAAACCTTACCTGGAATATGATAGTATTGGGAAGTAGAGCCTTGGTGAGGAGGCCATGAAGGTAGACAGAGCCCTCACAAGTGGGATGATCTTAGAACTGCCTTGCCCTGTGTACCAGGTGAGTATAGCAAGAAGGCACCATCTGTGAACCACAAAGAGAGCCCCACCAGATGGAAAACGGAATGGCACCCTATGCTCAGATTCCCCAGTGCTAGAACTATGAGGAACACATTACTGTTATAACCCACCCGTGTATGGTATTTTGTGTCAGTATCCTAAGTGAACTAAGACATTGTTTTACCCTATTTAAAACATACCTGCACCCAGTCTAAGAACACTAAATGGAGTGTGTTTTACTTCACAAAAGATAGAGGTGATTTGCAGAAGGTAGCTCCTTATGGACAGATGTGAAACATATTAGAATTCATTTGGAAAAGCAGAACCTGCTGCAGATTTTAATGTGAGTGCCTGAGTATGTGTTTATGTATGCATGGACTTATGAGGGCTTGGTTTATATGGAGTGGTAAGTGCTTAAGCATTCTCAGAGTATACACAGGAGAACTTGGAAGGAAGATAATGAGTAGCTGAAACTTTGAGGTATGTCACTGAACCTTTCCATAGAGGCAGAAGATACTGAGCCAGTCAGAAGAGTTCCATGTCCATTTGCGTCTGTTTGGGAGCCTCTTAGCCCAAAAAAGCCCTAAACTATCTTTGAAAGGGCTTCCAAGTGATTCATAGGACCACCTAGAATAATCTCCTTTTCTGTTAGCTTAAGGCAACTGATAAGGAGTTTAATTATATCTGCAAAATCAACAGCACTTAAATTACTGTTTCAGCCAGTTGAAGAAGGTGTAT